TGATCTTCCTACTTTGACACAGCTCCTAGAGTAACAAAAATCACTTACCTTGTAACAGGACAAGGGCAGGTGAACAGGAGCCATGGCTTTTCTGAATTCTGGCAAGAGAAGCAAAGATATGTGTGTGGTACCAGTAAGACAATAGTTAAAAGTCTGAGTTCCAACACCTTGCTGAGGCATTTATTTGTTCTACAGCTAGTAAACACTAGCACCAGGTATTTCCTCAGGAACTAGGGTGGTAAATGAGGCATCACCCAGGCACTTCAATAGCAGGCAGGCTTTCTGGTACTGTGCCTGGGAGCCTCTCAGAAATGCTGTCAGGAACATCATGTCAACCAGATCCCCAGGTGCCTCCCATGTAGTTCAAGTTTAAGGAACACAGGACTAGTAGTGTTCTTAACCCTGGTTGCATATCAGAACTACTGGAATGATATTTGAACATGGCTAGGCCCTGTATCAGACTAATTGAGTCAGATTTGTGGTGATAGAGCGTAGGCATTTTGGAGATTCCAGTATTCAGTTAAGGGTAACAATTGTTGGTCTCTCTCATTTTCTCAAATGTGAGTGTGCATTAAGCTCACTGGGAGAGCTTGTTAAAAATCCAGATTTCTAGGATTCAGTCCCCTAGCATCTGATTCTCTAGGGTCTGATCACTCTGGGACGTTTTGAGAACTATTAGTTTAGCATTTGAGACAAGTTCTGGTCTGCCGTGATTTACAAAGGGAACGAATGTGGAAATACACACAAGCAGTATAGCTGAGAGGTACCTTCAGGGCTGGGAAGCAGATATTTATGTCCTAGAGGATATGCTACACACCAAGTCTTGCATATAAGCAAGAGTTAGCAGGGTAGTGGTGGTGCACAACCTTAATTCCAGCAGGGAGGCAGAGGCAGGCTGATATCTAAGTTCAAGGCCAGCCTGGTTTACAGAGTAAGTTCTAGGACAGCTGGGCTTATACAGAGAAACCCTGTCTCATTTAGGGGCTGGGGCGGGTGTTAATCAGTTAAGTCAGGGATAAGAGCAGTGGGCTTAGGGAAGCTTATGCAGTGAGGTGTGAGGTTGGTTTAGAGGGCAAGACACAGGTATGGGAGAAGCTGGGGGACACATGTATTCCAACTTGAGAAAATCTAGTAAGTCCTCCTTTGGAAATAGAGACTTATTGTGAGGACTGGGGAGAGACATCAACTGTCCAAAGGCCTGCCCTGGCCTTTCCGATGGATTTGCTAAACCCAGGACCGTGTCTGAGATTGGGTCTGGTTAGTTAGCTTTAATTTATCAGGCCCCCACCCTTTGCTCCATTCCTTTCCACCCCATCCTCACTTTTGTTCCGGTTTCGATAATCCAGCCATGGCCAGTTGAACATTGGTCTGGGGATTTGAGAGAAATCAGCCTGTTCTTCATGGCCCATCCTCTTTGGTGTAGGACAGCCAAAAAATTCAGGGATGTGAAGCAAAGAGGGGCTTGAGGAGGCCCTTTCTTTGGTATAAGTGAGACCAGAGAGACACTTAAGTGCTGAGCAACCAGGTTGCCATGGTGAACAGAACACCCACTTCCATTGTTGAGTCCCACTGCTGGCCACTGTTGGCTTCCTGGCCAGCTGTTCACTGAACTTCATTTCCCTCAGCAGAATAGTGGTGAAGTCATGTCTGCTCAACTCCAGTAGCTTTGCTGAGGTACAAAGTGTTTGTGAACCATCAAGTTCAAGTCAACCCATGTTAAGTACAGGAGTTGTTCACAGAATTGGTCATCAGGAAAATGACAGGAACAGGAAAGCCTCTTTTATATGCACATCCTTCCTCTTTGTCAGGAGGCTGTGTGGCAAGGAGCTGCCGTTCAGATTTCTTCCATTTGCATATGCTGTTCCATCTACCTTGTACCCTTTTCGTTTCCTTCCTGCCTGTCAAATTGTCACTCGTTTCAAATGTTATGTCATTTCTGAAGGCTTTTCTTTCCCAAGCTCCCCTTCCCACCTGACTCAGTGATGTAATCTCTCTCCTACTCCACCCCAGTGCCTGGCATGGTACTGACATATAGGTCAGTACACAGTAAGAAGCTTACTACGTGTCTTGTTTTCTTTTCTGTTGCTGTGATTAAAATGCTCTCACAAAGGCAACTTGAGGATGAAAGTGTTATTTTATTTCATAGTTCAGGTTACAATCCACTGTGGCAGAGAAGTCACAGCAGCCTGGCCAGTCACAGTGAGAACATAGAACACATTCTCCCCGTTTGGCCCAGAGCCTGGTCCCTGAGATGGTGTTGCTCACATTGTAGACAGATCTTCCTCCTCCTAATAAGCTTATCAAGGGACTGGAGAGGTAGCTCAGCAGTTAAGATCACCAGGGAAGACCTGGCTTTGGTTCCCAGCACCTACTTGGCAATTCACAATAGTTTGTAACTTCAGTTCCAGGGGATCTAATGCCCTCATTTGACCTGTGTGCACCGAGAACACATGTGCTACACATGCATGTAAATAAACATTCATACAAAGAAAATAAATAAATATATGATTTTTAAATTCATCTTTAAAAAAAATCTCTCCCAGGTATGGCCAGTGGCTTAGTTCATTCTAGATCCAGTCTGTCTTGATAACTGAAGGTTAACCATAACACTACATATGAAGAAAATATGAATCATTGGGGCTAGAGATTTGGCTTACTGGTTAAGAGCACTTGTCGCTCTTGCAGAAGACCTGAGCTCTGTTCCCAGCACCTGCATGGTGGCTGACAACTATTACCTCAGTTACAAGGAATGCAGCAGGAACACATATGGTGCACATATATATAAGCTTGCAAAACATTAATACACATAAAGAAGAATAAAGAGTCTCTTTCCTCCAGCCGAGCAAGATGCCCAAAGGAAAGAAGGCCAAGGTTAACAGGAGGTCAAAAAGGTGGTCAATCCTTTGTTTGAGAAAAGGCCCAAGAACTTTGGCATTGGGCAGGACATCCAGCCCAAAAGAGATCTAACACACTTCGTCAAATGGCCCTGCTACATCAGGCTGCAGCAGCAAAGAGCCATCCTCTGTAAGTGGCTCAAAGTACCTCCTGCCATTAACCAGTTCACCCAGGCCCTGGACAGGCAAACAGCTACTCAGCTGCTTAAGCTTGCCTACAGCTACAGGCCAGAGACAAAGCAAGAGAAGAAGCAATGGCTACTGGCCTATGCTGAGAAGAGAGCTGCTGGCAAAGGGGACATCCCAACTAAGAGACCACCTGTCCTCCGAGCAGGAGTCAATACAGTCACCACCTTGGTGGAGAACAAGAAGGCTCAGCTGGTGGTGACTGCCCATGATGTAGACCCCCATTGAGCTGGTGGTGTTCCTGCCCGCCCTGTATGGAAAGATGGGGGTGTCCTACTGTATCATCAAGGGAAAGGCCAGGCTGGGGCGCCTGGTCCACAGGAAGACGTGCACCACTGTTGCCTTCACACCGGTTAACTCGAAAGACAAGGGTGCTCTGGCTAAGCTGGTAGAAGCTATTAGGACCGATTATAAGGACAGATATGACGAGATCCGCCACCACTGGGGAGGTAACATCCTGGGTCCTAAGTCTGTGGCCCGAATTGCCAAGCTGGAAAAGACAAAGGCTAAAGAACTCGCCACTAAACTGGGTTAAATGTACACTAAGTTTTCTGTACATAAATATAGTTACAAAATTAAAAAAAAAGAAGAAAGAAACCTAAAGAAAAAACCTAAAACATATGGATCACTGGCTTGATTGTCATTTAATCAGACTTAATATAAATAAAGTGACATGAGTGCTTTATGTGCTGCACAGAGACAGGTGACGTTCTCAAGTGGAATTCCTACCAGAATGACTTAATCTGAGCCCAATTGTAAGGAAATAAGCAAACCTAAATGATAAGTACTCTACAAAAATATAATCTAGCCGGGCGGTGGTGGTGCACCCCTTTAATCCCAGCACTTGGGAGGCAGAGGCAGGTGGATTTCTGAGTTCGAGGCCAGCCTGGTCTACAGAGTGAGTTCCAGGACAGCCAGGGCTACACAGAGAAACCCTGTCTCAAAAAACCAATATATATATAATCTGAACAATTCCAATGCCTTTAAGGATAAAAAAAGATAGTGTTGTTTAGCCAGGTGATGTAGCATACACTGGTCATCCCATCCTGAAAGTTCAAGGCCACTCTGGGCTATGTATTGAGATCCTACGTCACTAAACAAAACAAATGGCTGGGCATGGTAGACCAGCCGTGTAGGCGCAGCACTGAAGATGGAGGGGGTTATCATAAGGTCCAGGCCACCCTAGTCTACATAGGGAGTTCCAGGCAACTTAGGACTACATAGGAAGTTCCCTCCTTTCACCCTCACAGAAAACAAAGCCAGACTAAAAACGGCAGTTGTGGTAGTGCACACCTTTAATCCCAGCACTCAAGAGGCAGAGGCAGGTGGATGCTCTCTCTCTCTCTCTCTCTCTCTCTCTCTCTCTCTCTCTCTCTCTCTCTCTCACACACACACACACACACACACACACACACACACACACACACACTGAGCCAGTGCTTGGCACACTGCATTCAACTAATAGTACCTACAGCCATGACTGGTATTGATGATGTTCACCTGCAGGGGAGAAAGGTGGACTACCCCAAGGTGCTGGTACAGTTGGTACAGTTATAGGCTTCTGAAATTGTCCTTAAGTCCTGTTCTGTGGGCAATGATAGTGTTAGAGAAACCCACTGGAGATAAGGTATAGGACATGCTAAGGTAGAAGGATCAGTTAAAGCCCGAGGAAGCAAGGAGGTGTCACAGCAGGGATCCAGATAAATCCTTGGAGACTTACAGGTAGACTTACATCATGGTGCTTAGACTTCAACCCTAGTGGATAAATCACTGGTTACTTTGCCAGCTTTTCCTGTCTATGCTAACTACACAGGCCATACCTCCTAAATCTGGTGTTGATACCAGATATGTGCCTAGATATCTACATGCTTAATAATTGTGGGGAAGGATTCTTAGAAAGAAGTAAAACTAGGAGCCAGCTTTGTCTTTGTATCAGAAATTTTAATGAAATGCTGGAGATAAGAAATTTCTTGGGTTTGCTGTGCAGAGCCTGTGAGGAGTTGAGATACTCATTTTCCTTCTTTGCTTGAGAGATACACAGGCTTCTTTTCTGGTCCCCAAATAATCGCCAGTTGAAGATCCTGAAGTTCAAGGTCTTGAGAGTTTCTGTTGCCATGGCAGGGCCTCAGTACACCTCCCAAGCTTTAGGAGAGGACACTGTTATAATCTCTATGGTATGATAGCATCTATGTCCTCCCAGGAATGAGTGGGAGTAGGGGGTTGCTGAGTGGCATCCCCAAGCTGGTTAAGACTAGAGCAAGCAAGGACAGGTAAGTGATACAGGATCAGGATCAAGAAACCCTCTGCTCTAGTTCATCTCCAGGTAGTTGATGTATTCTTGAACCCACTTCTTCTCTGGGTTGGCACACACTTGACGGTTCCTCCGAGTCACAAAGCTGCAGGAGAGAAGAAGGTAAGCACCGAGGTAGCATCTGGTGTATGGGGACTGGAAAGCACAGGGGGCTATTAACAAGCATAAAGGTTATGCAAGTTGGGTAGGGCATTTTTGTAACTCCATACTGTTTTCTTCCTTTCAGAGGATATTTCTTCTCCTTTGGAATTAAAGGCACTGGGCTACAGGCAGAGTTCCATTTATGTTAATTCCCTACAAATACACACAAGTTTGGAACAGGCCAAGCACTGGCCTTTTCTTGGCCCTTTTCCCTGCTCCAGGCCTTTTGCTGAGTGACAAATTTAAAGAAATTGAATATTGATTTACTTAAATCAGTTAAGTTGAGGAAATTAAGAGGGAACTCTAAGACTGCCTAGTCGCTGCTGTTGGCACTCTAAGCATGTAGCTAGGGAGTCAAAAGGCTAGAGTACCAGTTCCAGCTATCAAGATTGCTCAGGCCTCCATTTCCTTCTCCTGTATATAGTATGTGATATCAAAGAACAAATCTCCTTTGCTAAGTCTTCCTTCCTCCCTCCATTTTTGGGGCCCTCTGTTCATCTGACTTCCCCTTCCACCTGTCTCTTAAGAGCAAGTGTTCTCAAAGACACTGCCCCCTTTACCTTCTCCTTTTTCCAGTCTCTGGCCCCAGGCCTGGTTAGAGTTGATTCTTGGTGAATATTGGGTGAATAAGTGAATGAATAAATCGCATTCATTCATTCTTACCACATGTATGCATTCATGCGCACATACATGTACAAATACACACTCTTAGAAAATGACAATAGTAGGTTGATACTTCTTTATACCCATTATATGCCAGGGGATGGTCTAAGTGCTTATTATTTTTTCTGTGACCTAGTGAAAGAAATGCCTTAATTATCCTCTTCTGGAACTACCTCAGAGGGGCTGAGGGGCCCCAGTTTACCAAACAACATAACTAGGATTCTAACACAGCAGACCAGCTGTGTAGCCAAGGATGACCAAGACAATGTGGCCCAGACTCTTCTTATTGACAGTTCCTGGACGCTGTCCTCAGCCCTTTGCTTGCGCTCTCTGGCATCTCCAGGGATTGTCTTTGCTTAGTTCCTTCCTTTTTTTTACAGTTTGCCCTCCAGACCTGCACACCTCTCCATCCCTGAATGGAGACCTCAGCATCGTCTCTATCTCTTCCTGTCCTTGCTCCTGACCACAAGTCTGTTACGCTGGCTAATTCATCCTCCAAAGCTCCTGACTCTTGTTTCTTCTTGCCTCCAGGTACCACTGTCCTGACAATACTACACATGTGGGTGACTTCAACTGCCTCTTCTCCAGACCCCTTCCTTGGCTGTACCTGGTCATTTTACTCTCGCCAGCTCTATGTTTTGTTTCAGTTTCCTGACACTCAAGGTGCCCTCTGCTTTTCTACACATGTCCCTACAAACCAAAGTAGAAGCCCATGAGTGTGTTCTCAGATACACCCCTGTCACACACACTTCTCTACTTCTAATCTCTTCACAAACAGTATCTTTTTACAGTAACCACCTCTGAGTCACCTGCCTCCCTCCTGAAGCTAGACATACCCCTCCTCTCCTCTTGTAAGATATTATAGGGTGCTGTAGTCATTCTGTGTCCAACCTATCTCTCTTACTGGGTGATCTCTCCATAGCAAAGGACGACAGTTTTATTCATCTCTGCTGGCTCATAATAGGTGCTCAAGGAAGGATTTTTTAAAAAGTCTTACTTTAGAGCTAAATTTCTTAATACTAAATAGTAATATTATGTTTTCAGTGATTCACTAGGATTGAAGTCTATCTTTACCAGGGTTACAAAAAGTCTTTGGATTAAAACTCTTTAACCTTTTACTGGAAACGTCGTGATTTCTTCCTTTTCTTTTTTATATTTATGTATAGGAACACTCATCTGCACGCATCTGTGCACCACATGTGTGCCTGAGGAGGTCAGAAGAGGGTGTTGGATCCCCTGGAACTGGAGTTACAGATAACTGCGAGCCACCAAGAGGATGCTGGGAACTGAACCTGGATCCTCTGCAAGAGCAACCAACGGTCTTATCAACTCAGCCATCTCTCCAACGCTCTGTTTTCATTCGGTGGATCGTTATCATCTTAAGCTTTGTAAGCCTTTTGCCGCTAATGACTTTGTTTGATAACAGGAAGAAGGACCCCAGAGACAGACCGAATCCCTCACTCACTGTGTAGCTTTGAGTACGGCAGCCAATGCCTCTGAATCTATTTCATTCTGTGGAGAGACTTGCGCATACTGGCCAGGGCAATGCACAATTTAGAGACAGTGCGCATAGACACACCATGCCAGTAAGCACGCTCTGCATGGTAGGGACTATTACATTTCCCCAAATCTACCCATATGCACACTTAAAGCTAAGTCTCATCATGACTTCTTAAATAGATAGGTTTTTAGATTTTATTTACTTGATTGAAATTACGACCCTAACCTTTGACCCGTCCTCTCTAGTTCCTCAGAGGATTAGCTGAGCTGGATTGGGTGTGAAGTGTGGAAGCTTTGGACTCTTCCTTAACTGGAGAGGACTAATGGAGTGCATGTTCCAGCCCGTGCTTAAATAAAAGCTGCACCAGCAAAGGTTGGTGCCCTAGGAACTGTGTCTGTCACTATAGGCAGGATCCTTTAAGGTCGTGGTTCTCAACCTTCCTAAAGCTGCGAGCCTTTAATACAATTTCTCATGTTGTGGTGACCCCTCCACCATAAAATTATTTTTTATTACTATTTCATGATTGTACTGTTGTTACTGTTATGAATTGTGATGTAAATATTTTTTGGAGGTAGGGAGTTGCAACAGGGGTCCCGACCCACAGGTTGAGAACCACCTCTCTAAGGCTCCCCATGTCTAGTCTTTAATGTTACAGTTGGAGACTCTGAGCTGGAAATGAGGAGCCATAGCTATTAGAGGAGCCTAGAGGGTGAGTGGGAGTGAGAGGGGGGCACCCCCAGAGAAGGATCATGGCGGAGGTGGTGGTGGTGGGATGGCTTCTGTACTCCAAAGAGGAACCCATGGGGCCGAGACTCACACGACTGCAAGGTTGGAGCACTTGCTGCTGGTGTAAAAATATTCCTTGACGTGGGCACGAGGCAGCGCGAGGGAGAGGTAGGCAAAGCAGCAGGGAGTGGTGTCCGAGCCATCTGGGAGAAGGAAGGAAGGAAACCCGTTTACTCATTGTATGCTGGACTCTCTACCCGATTTATCTCGAAAGCGATGACTGTTGTTGTCTACCTTGGCAGAAATAGCTCAGAGGACACAGTTGCCGCGGTGGAGAGTTCAACAGAACTCTGTCAAACTGTGTCTGGTCCATGAGCCAAGCCTGTGCTTTGTCCTCTGTACAATAAGCCCCCGCTGGGATCCCTCTCCTCTGCTCAGCACCTCCTGCCTTTAGCCTTGTGCTTTCAGAGCTCCCCTAGTGGATTCAAAGCTTGGTGTCTTCGAGGTGTAGGATGAGTTATAGGGAAGCATCCAAGCTGAGGCTCCATAACTTAGTGACGATCCTAAGTGGGACCTGAAAGTGCACACAGTGTCCTGGGACCTGGCTAGCCCGTAGTGAGGGGCTCTGAACAGAGAAGCTTTCGGTGGTCAGTTAATTGAAGATGCCACTGAGCGGCACAGTTGGCATCCCATGGCAGAGCTGCGGTGCTTAGCTTCCCTGTCAGATAGGGCTTTTGCAATACCAATTTCCACAATTCTAGCAGTGTGCACCCTTAGATAAGAATCTCAGTGTCCTTGAGCCTCTGTTTCCCACTGCAACACAAGAGCAACCACTGAAAGACTCGTTGTATTAAACAGGATGGCAGATTAAAGTAATCTGCACAGTGCCTGACCCAAGGGAGGCACTCGGTTCACATACATTTCTTTCTTTCTTCCTTCCTTCCTTCCTTCCTTCCTTCCTTCCTTCCTTCCTTCCTTCCTT